TGTTTCAAAAAGAAGGTTCCACAGTTCAACACTTAAAATACTCATGTCTCGCAAGAACATGATAAATGACATTTTCCACTTAAAACAGATTATAACATGAACACCAATAATTTTCTGAGTACCAATAAAAATAAATAATATGTCACACAATTCTCAAGGCTATAAGCGTCGTTGGATCCAATATCGAACTAAGAGTCATTCTCAGGGTGGCACCTAGGCCTTTTCTCAAAGATGATCCATGTAAAGGTCACCTAGCTTTTTTTTAAGGTCTTTTCCTTACAATCGTTGAGCACTAGAGTCATCATGGCCCAACCCGGATCTGTTCCCTAGTGGCCAGAGTTACCACACACAGTGGAATAATTTCCCTAGACTAAATACACATATGCTCCCAATAATCAATACACATCAGTTTCGCAAAACATGGTAGTTCATCATTATAAACATGAGACCAAAACAAATAGTTTACAGTATGCCAAGTTCACACATGTTTTAGAAATAATTTGATTCAATTGATAATATAATAATTTATCAAAACAGTTTAGTTATGAAACAACAATTTAATTTTCTAACAGTTCAGAGTAGGGGAACATTTACAAAAATATGTAGCATGAAACTACTCACCTGAAAACGAAATAATATAATCCTCGAATAGAGTATGAAAGTCCAACTACTGCCCTAAACAAAGTATTAAAACTACACGTCACTACTAATTCAAACATACTAAAAGGAATAATAAACTAAGTAACCCCAAACTAAAGCGCACTAACACGGCTCAACCCAACTCACCGTTACTCTTAAATATTACCTAAGTTCATGTTCTTCAAGGTCTAAAATCACCCAAGACATGGGTTCAAATCGAAACTTAATTAAAAATAACTTTAAGATAAAACAAAGTTTTAAACAAGTTTTTCCAATCTATTCGCTAACTTTGAAAATTACAAAACCCACTCCACGCTATTCGAAAAATTCCAAAAACCTCCAGATATCAACTAATATATCCTAAATTTCAAACCCAATTGGTTTCACTTGATTTGCTTATCAAAATAATTATCTACAATTTATTATATCCAAACAGGTTGTTTTCTGTAGCATTTTAAAGAAATTGCCGGTTCTCTTAATATACATGAGCAATCAATGCAAGGCCAAAAATGTAAGAAACTAGACTCGTAACTAGTTCTAATGACGCTGATTTGATAATTTTTGGATTTATACCCAAAGAAAACAATACTCCCAAATTTACTGTTTAAAATCAGTTTTCTGGACAGATTTGAACGCATCAGTTTATATAGATTTTGACTCCCAAAAATTATGAAAAAATTGAAATATGCAATTCAATATGTAATTAATCTACTGTAAAAATTTCAATTCAAAATTCGTCTGTTTGATATGGTTTCTTGATTTTTAAAATTTGTGATTCTGTGCAGAATTTTTGGACTAAGAATTACACCATTCTTTATACATAAAACACTATCCCAATCAGTCAAATATTTCATAGCCATGCCCAACACATGTACCTACTTCACCAATTTGATCCATCAACTGCACAGCAACTCACAAGAAAAAGAAAAAGTTTGTGAAGGAATAAAAATAATAAGGGATTTACCTTGCTAATGGCCACTACAAAACTCAACAATTTTCACCCAATGACCTAGACGTCTCTCTCCCTCCCTTTACCTCTCACGGTTGCTCAGAAAAGTTGTGGGAAAACAATATCATAAGAATTAGGGTTTGTGTTTATTTTATTTATACTAGTGGTGGGCACACATAGGTCAAATAAATAGATAAATATACAAAATACATATATAAGTTATATGCAACTCAAATGGTAAAGCCTTATTTATTAAGTTTGTGGTCTAGAGTTCAAGTCATACCCTCCTCTCTATTTACTTTATTTTATTTCGTTTTTCTTTTAGATAATAAATCTTGCCTCTAAATTAAAGACTTTCACCATAATTTATTTTAGGTTTAAAAATTAATTAAAAGATCCTCCAATAATATTTAATTTGCACCTTAGAATTCACCACCAAAATATTTGAGATTGTAATATTATTATTTAATTATTTACTTAATTTATATATTCGGGTTCTCACACCAAGGGGCGTTGCTCCCTGGACCCTCATGAGCTGACCGGCCAGCTCGATCCCCGACATAATTAGTGAAGTGGAAAACATGAAAGAATTATCTTCTGAAACTTCTCTGTAAGGCACAATTCGGGGTTGGATTTGCATCTAAATACTCATAGTCTCACTGAAATAAAAGAGCGAATAAAAGTACAACTGAAAGGAGTTTTGTCAAATGGGATTGCCAAGAATAAAAACCTAATAGTTATGTTTGACTTTAATTATTTTCTAATGATATGAAATGATTAGTTTTCTGAAATACTATGTTTTATATGAATGAATGATTGTCCAAGTTTCTGAAATGTATTTGTGACATCGTTAGCATCATATGATACGCGTCCCTTTTATGGGTCATCGGAATGCCTTTATGGTCGTCCGTTTATGGGTCCTCGGAATGCTTTTATGTAAGTCCTTTTATGGGTCATTAGAATGCCTTTATGGTCGTCCCTTTATGGGTCATCAGAATGCCTTTTTGGAAGTCCCTTTTATGGGTCATCGGAAACGTCTCTGTGCACAAGAGTCATCGGAATACTTGCACGTCCGTCCTTTCATGGGTTATCACTAATGGATATGCCACGAATTATGATGTGATAGATACGAACTTTGAATATGAATGCAACTACGTATATGAATCTGTTTCTACTTTGATGACTGATCATGTATAAGACTCTATTTCTTTATGGGCATCATTCAGTAAAGTCTTTACTCTGTTATTATTCGTTGGGCTCTAGCTCACTATTTATTATTATGTATGTAGGTCAGCAGGCACGTGACCAAGCCCAGAGTTGATGGCTTAAGATTCTGTTTTGTCAGCTAGCCATTGTGTCTCCAAGGAGGTTCCCTTTTGTAAGCGAGTCTAGTCTAAATGGCACATATTTAAGACCTTGTCTTCTTTGAATTATGAACAAAATTTTTGTTATGTGTATATTGGGCTAAGTCCCCTTTTGGCTACATTTGTATTGAATGTTATGTGTAAATTGGGCTAAGTCCCCTTTCGGCTACATCTGTATTGAATGTGACGTAAGACTTGCATTATGACGTCACGTATACGTGTAAAAGGTTTAAATTTATGTCCCATATATGTCTGCACAGCTCTATGGACTATGTATATTTGCTTCCGCAGCCCCTAATTATATGTTATTCCGTTAAGAGGCCTTTGGTAATCCAAGGATTACTGGCCGGATACGACGCTAAACCTGTAGAAGCGGGTTTAGGTCGTGATAGTTGTTTTACGCTTGCTTCGAAGATGAGGAACAGGAACTTCTCTGTTCCTAATTTCTTGGTAAATTGAATTTACTAAATTCTCTCTCTCGGAGTTGATTTGCACTGGAATGCAATATTCATCACTTTGATTATGGACATCAAGAACAAAAGATGAATTTTTTTTCCTTCTAATTTTGCGGTAGATGGAATCAGTTGAGGCTTGTGCATTGGGTAGGAACTTGTTTTTTTTATGGAATCAATTTAATAATTATGAAGAGATCAGTTCTCCAGAATTCCCCCAATATTAGCTTGGACTTTTTAACAATTAGCTTGTTTAGTTCTTCTCTGTTCCTAATTTCTTGGTAAATTGAATTTACTAAATTCTCTCTCTCGGAGTTGATTTGCACTGGAATGCAATATTCATCACTTTGATTATGGACATCAAGAACAAAAGATGAATTTTTTTTCCTTCTAATTTTGCGGTAGATGGAATCAGTTGAGGCTTGTGCATTGGGTAGGAACTTGTTTTTTTGATGGAATCAATTTAATAATTATGGGGAGATCAGTTCTCCAGAATTCCCCCAATATTAGCTTGGACTTTTAACAATTAGCTTTTTTAGTTGTTATGTTCATGTTTCCCTTTTTAATTTGCTTTTATTCTATTTGACTTAATAATTTCAGTGAATTAGGGTTTAAGCTATTTTTAGTTTATAGAAATGTTAAATTTCTATTTGACTTAATAATTTCAATAAATTTCTATGGCCCAATATTATGTTTTGTGAATCAATAATGTTTTTTTGGAATTGGTAGATTACTTTAGATTTTTGTGATAATGTTTCAATTAGTTTCTTCAATAACACTTTGAATTTCTCTCAGTTTGTCAAAAGAATTGCCCAACCCTATGACTTTGGCTTCACGTTGTTCATGTATTCCATTATCCGTTTAAGTTAGCACAGTTACATTATTGCAAAATATTATATTGAATGAGATGAATAATAAAAATAGAGAGAGAGAGAGAGAGGGATTGATTTTGGTATAGAAAAAAAGACCAATATTATGTTCAAAGAATTTGAGAAAGAGAGAGAATCATGGTCATTTTTGTTTATTATTGATTGGTTTGCACTGTTCTTGAATCTATATTTCAACTAATTTGATGGGCTGTGTTTTATGTGTTTTAAGTTTCTGAGTCAGAACAATCAGTTTGTATGTGGATTTTTTGGTAGTTGGGTGTTTCAGGCAAGTGCTCTCAATGTACTTGTTGGCCTCTTTTTGTATTCAGTTAGGTGTTAAAAAGTCCTCCTATTTGGTAATATAATTTCAATAAATTTAACTCAATTCCAATGTTTGATTAGTCTGTTATATATTTATTTTTATTTCTTTTATTTGTATTGGCAAAGAAAATTTAAGAGTTACATAGCAAAGTTAGAGAGATCAATTGAATATCTATGCCTTCTACATAGATTGTTCTCTCCCTCGCTGAGATTGTATACATGTGAATTTCTATGTTTGTAGATGTCACTTGTTGGGTTAAGGTTTGCATGTCCCATTAGGTTAAAGCAACTAAACATATTAGTAGTTAGTGTTAATGAGTTGCTATCTAATATTTGTCAGGAAATTAATTTATTTTACGTGAAAATAGGATAGAGCAATCAATTTATTAATTTTTCATTTTGAAGCAGGTGCACCTTGAGGTTGAAACCACATGATGAAAGATCAAGCTCTATGACTATATTGTAGATGGGTGAGTCATTCTCTTCTCTCAACTAGATAATTTTTAAAATTTTTGGTTTATACATTTACATTAATGAATTTTATTCTTTCTAGTTTTGATAATAAAGTTGTAGATGACATTTTTCTTTTTTTAAATCCTTCTTACAGGTGGTCACAGGGAGGTGTGCTCGACTTGCATCACTCGACTTCGCTTCATCTAAAATTTGTGTTTCCTTTCTTCTTCACTTATATTGGTTTTTAATTTTGATATCTTTGGGTTTTTATTAGTTGGTGCACTCTTTTTGGATTACATTAGTTGGTGTTTATTGAATTTTTATTTTTCTGTCATTGGTATTCCGATGGTAAAAGATAAATGATGAGGAAAAAACAGAGAATCGTGTATGACTGTATAGTGGGAGAGGGGAATACAATGAGGATGGTGGTTGTGCAATTCGGTTTACATCTAGATCAATTTAGTTTGCGGTTGACATTCAATTTCTATGGTCGCTAGCATAAGGCAAGGCACCAAGAAACCTCATCTTGATGTAATTTTGTTCTTTCAAAATGCAGCTTCTCTTTGATACTCATTGTATAATTGGAGCAATTATTATATTTTTCTCACATAAATACATTTGACATAGGTTTGGGATTCATATATGCTGATGCTTAGCATTATGTCTGCATGTATATAAATAAAGTTTGAAAATACAATCCAAAAATTGACAAAGTATTGGGGAGAATGCAATTTGTTAATGGCTATGGCAGCAGCTTTGGACCCTAGATACAATGAAGTTGATTGAATTTTGCTTTCCTAAAATTTATAATGTTGCTGAATCTAAAAGGCATATCAATCAAATTCGTTATTCATTGTATGAACTGTATGATGACTATGTCGTTGCTTATGCTTCAAATAATATTGGAACTAGTGATTTTCTTTTCAAATGGGGAGGAGATCTTCTAATAGTCCTATAACTAGTTGCAATACAAAAGGAAAAACTAAGAGCAGGTCAGAGTTTGATATATGGTCACAAGAGTTGGATACTATTGAACCAAGCAAATCTGATTTGGGCATATATTTGGAAGAAGGCCTTTACATTTGTAAAAGGAATTTAGATGTTGATTTTGATGCTTTAGATTGGTGGAAGGCAAACACTCTCAAGTTTTGCATTCTATCAAACATGGCACGTGACCTATTATCAATTTCTATCAGCATTGTAGCTTCTAAATCTGCTTTTAGTGCTGGGGGACAAGTTCTAGATCAATATCGAAGCTCTTTGAAATCGAAAACAGTGCAAGCTCTAATTTGTGTAGGGGATTGGCTATGTTCTAATTTTGGAGTGAATAAACCATTGGAGGTATGTGCAAGTTGCTAGTCTATATCTACATATGCTTTTCAATTTGATGCAGTTATATCAATTTTTTAACCTCTGATTATTATCATTCTCTTTTAGAGTGATGAAGAGTCCATGAAAGAAGGATGCTTAGAGCAGTTTTGAGGCTACTGTAAGTATGATTTTATTCTTTTTAATTTACTATAAAGTATGTAAATATTCTGATCCTTTTTATTTTGTTTTACAGGCTGAGCATGAAAGTTAAGAGGAGACTTTGATTTGAGGAGCCTATTTCTTGCTTTCTTTGATTTTTTTTTTACCCCCTTGGGCGGTAGGTTATTATTGCAAGGAAGCAAATAGAAGTTTGAGTTTCAGATTGTTTTCATTTTATGGAGATCAGTAGTTACTTTTTTAGTGAGTTTTGTTTCTTTTCTTTTTGATAGATTCAAAAATGATTGATGATTGTTGCTGGATTTTCTTCTAATTTTTTAGTTTTATTCATTTGTCAATTTGTGATTACTTTGTGGGGTTCAGTTCTTTCTTTTATACTTGGGTTCCATTTTTTTTTCCTTTTTTGACTGTAGTTTCCTGTTGGGAAGTTATTTATTGGTGGAATTTCATGGGACACAAACGAAGATCGTTTGAAGGAGTATTTTAGTGGGTATGGGGAAGTTTTGGAAGCAGTAATTATGAAAGATCGGAGCATAGGTGCGCTCATGGTTTTGGTTTTCTTGTCTTTGCTGACCTGGTAGTTGAAGAAAGAGTCATTAAGGAGAAACACAACATTGATGGAAGGATGGTAAGATGGTTTAGAATTTCTCAATTTATTGTTGATGTTATCTTTATGCACGGGTTTGGATTTGTCAAGTTTGGTTGTTTTTTAGAATGTAGGCAATTTAATCTCAATTTAAACTAAAATTGCTTATTGTCTTTTTATTCTTGTTTTTGCTGCTCTTCAATGATATTAGATTTTTGATTTCAATGTTTTTGTTTATTATGTTATTTTAAGATCAAATAATCTTTGAGTTTAATGTGCACCATGGGTTCTCAATCTTTAGGTCAAGGCAAAAAAGGTGGTTCCAAGGGATGACCAAAGCACAATGAGTAGATACAGCAGTAGTATTCAGGGGTCTCCCGGTCCAGGACGCACGAGGAAGATATTCATTGGGGGTTTACCTTCTAGAATCACCGACAGCGACCTTAGGATGTATTTTGAGCAATTTGGGACCATATTCAGATTGTTTTCATTTTATGGAGATCAGTAGTTATTTTTTTAGTGAGTTTTGTTTCTTTTCTTTTTGATAGATTCAAAAATGATTGATGATTGTTGCTGGATTTTCTTCTAATTTTTTAGTTTTATTCATTTGTCAATTTGTGATTACTTTGTGGGGTTCAGTTCTTTCTTTTATACTTGGGTTCCATTTTTTTTTCCTTTTTTGACTGTAGTTTCCTGTTGGGAAGTTATTTATTGGTGGAATTTCATGGGACACAAATGAAGATCGTTTGAAGGAGTATTTTAGTGGGTATGGGGAAGTTTTGGAAGCAGTAATTATGAAAGATCGGAGCATAGGGCGCGCTCATGGTTTTGGTTTTCTTGTCTTTGCTGAACTGGTAGTTGAAGAAAGAATCATTAAGGAGAAACACAACATTGATGGAAGGATGGTAAGATGGTTTAGAATTTCTCAATTTATTGTTGATGCTATCTTTATACACGAGTTCGGATTTGTCAAGTTTGGTTGTTTTTTAGAATGTAGGCAATTTAATCTCAATTTAAACTAAAATTGCTTATTGTCTTTTTATTCTTGTTTTTGCTGCTCTTCAATGATATTAGATTTTTGATTTCAATGTTTTTGTTTATTATGTTATTTTAAGATCAAATAATCTTTGAGTTTAATGTGCACCATGGGTTCTCAATCTTTAGGTTAAGGCAAAAAAGGTGGTTCCAAGGGATGACCAAAGCACAATGAGTAGATACAGCAGTAGTATTCAGGGGTCTCTCGGTCCAGGACGCACGAGGAAGATATTCATTGGGGGTTTACCTTCTACAATCACCGACAGCAACTTTAGGATGTATTTTGAGCAATTTGGGACCATTTTGGACGGTTTGAACTTAGGAATAGTTTTTTATATTTAGAAACATAGTTTTTAGATGGTTTGGAATGTATAGATAGTTTTTAGATATTTAGAACTTGTGGATAGTTTTTTTTTTTTTTGATGTTTGAAACAATATTTTGGTGTTTCATTAATGCTTGTATATATATATATATATTTGTGAAGTTTGTTTGTAATGTTTTCTTAGATTGTACAGAACAGGTGAAATAAAACTTGTTTTTTTTTTATTTTTTTTTAATGTACATATTCTACAGCATGCAAAAAATGATGTGAAACTTGGGTTATCTACAGCAAACAAAATAAGTCATTGTATTAAATGTTCAACGACTAGTAATGAACGTCGTGATTTGTCCCTGAATTAACGGCGTGCAAAAGTAGTCATAGAAAAATCAAACACGATACACAAGATCTGCTGTTAAAGGGTTTTTAACGGCGTAAAAGAGTAGATGTAGAAAAGTCAAACACGATGCACAAGATCCGTTGTTAAATATTTTTTACGACGTACTACAACATACCGTTGAAAGTGAATGACTCTCCATGTCTGGTCATAATATGACGTTACATTGCATGTCGTAGAAGGGTTTTTACAGCGTGCATTACACGCCGTAAAAATCCTTTCTTATTGTGGAAGTGCGTTTTGATTAAGACAGGACGGCTTAAGTGGAGAAGTGCGTTTGAAATACTGTACGATAAACGAATACCCACTAGACTAAAAGGTAAGTTCTATAGAACGGTTATTAGACTAGCGATGTTGTATGGGATGGAGTGTTGGGAAACTAAGAAACAATATGTCGATAAGATGAGTGTTGTTGAGATGAGAATGTTAAGGTGGATGTGTAGCAAAACTAGACAAGACAGAATTAAGAATAAGTGTATTCGGGAATAGGTAAGAGTAGCACCACTAGAAGATAAGTTGAGAGAGAGTCGATTGAGATAATTTGGTCATATTCAACGGTGACCAATAGAGGCAATAGTGAAGAGATGCGATGCAGTGACGGTAGATGGAAGTGTTAGGGGACGGGATAGGCCTAGATTAACGTTGGCTAGCATTGTAAATAAAGATAGATTTACTTAATTTGACTAACGAAATGACCTTTGATAAAGTCGCGTGGAGAAGGAGAATTCATGTAGCCGACCCCATTTGATAGGACTTAAGGCTTGATTTGGTTTGTTATAGTGTTAGGCAGCCCTCCTTTCCAGCACCACTCTAAGAGTGATATCCTTTTTTGATGATAAACTAAATAGCCTAGGAAAAATAGACTTAATAGAAAGATTACCCGCTCAACTATCAGTCCAAAAATGGATTCTATTACCATTACCCATAGTCAACTTGCAATTTTCCATAAAATATTCAAAAGATGAGAATTTGATTGACTAACATTCAGAATACCACCCCAGACTTTTGAACAATTCCCAAAACTATCTGGAAAAGGGTACCACCTCCCACCAATCGGGGGATACCCTACTGCAAATTACTCTTTTCCACAAGGAGCCATCCTCAACACCAAACCGCCACCACCATTTAGCCAATAGGCAATCATTCACCTCTTGAACTCTTCTAATACCCAATCCCCCATTGTCTTTGCTCTTGGTTGCTTCAGCCCAGCTAACAAGGTGAACCTTCCTCTTCACTTCTGACCCCCCCTCCCCCTCATGGAAAGTTTGCTCGAATTCTATCAAATGCCTTAGCCGCAGATGAGGGTATCTTAAAGATAGATAAATAGTACGTAGGCAAGCTGGACAACACAAACATAATAAGTGTTAACCTCCTTCCAAATGATAGAAGCTTCCTCTTCCATGATGCAAGTCTGGCTCTACATTTATCAAATACAGGCTTCCAAATCTTCTTTAGCCTAGGACTAGCCTCCAGTGGAAGCCTAAGATAGGATAGTGGTAGCTTCTAATGCCTACAATTCAATCTAGATGGTATAAAGGGCATGGATGGCAAGGTGAGGTGACTTTAGCCCAAATACTGCATGCACATAAAAACACCCTTGCACAGACAAAAGTAGCCAAAAAATGATGGTTTGGAATTATGTGTCAGGATTAATGTTAAGAAAATGGGTTGCCCTTTAAAAACAATGCCCCCCATTCCCTGCTGTTTTTTTATTTTTATTTTTTGAAAATTCCAATTCATTAACAATATTAGGAAGAAACCTTTGGGTCTTGAGATACACCAGTGTGCTCAAACAAGAATTCATCTTCAACTATGAAAATGAATCCCATATTTCTGATTGTGTAGTTACTTGTTTGATTCCTCATAAGAAAGTGAAGTAAAAGAAGAAAATCAAGTGCTCAAAATTTTTTACGAAGTATCTTATGGCACAAATTACTTATGTTAAAAATGGTGGATAGCGAGTGTGCTAACAAAGTTGCTACTGTTTTTCACAGTGGTTTAGAATATATATATATATATATAGATAGTAGAATTATTTGAGTTCTATTATTTTTATTTCTTATGATGACTTCTGGCATGTTGAGTTTTGTGAATTGATTGTTTTTTAGGCTGTGCAGTTTAAAGCTTGATTAATCTGTATGGATTTTGAATTTCCTATGTAAAAGACAATGTCCTTTAGGCTGTGCTGTGTAAAGTTTGAATTTTGAATGTTATAACTTTTCTTATGTGGAAGACAAATGTCAACGGTCAACTACACCTTCTGATGGCCTTAGCAAGAACACAAAAGGGAAGAACTATATACCTTTACTAGACAGTGGCCATTGTTCATGTTGTGTTTTGATAATACCCTTGAAATGAGTGATCTTCTAATGGCAGGAACACGGAAGATGTATACACTTTTATTAGATGTTGATTATTGTTCGTGTTGTGTGATTTAGCAACCTTGACAATTCATGACATTTAAAATTACTCTTGTTTTCCCATATCACCAGCACAATATTATATGCATTTGCAATGCCAGGGGGCTCCTTCAGCTACTTATTGTTATGATATTGATGATTAATTTATTGGGTATTGAGAATGATGGGTTTTTGTCTTGTTGATTTTGTAGTTTTTGGATGGATGGGTTATATTCACGGAGTATGCTAGACCAAGACCACAACCTCCTCAGTTCAAGAACAATGCCAGATCACCACCTCTTGGATATGGGTCTCCATATGGTCGTCCATGAATTATTAGTGGGAGAAGCTGGTCATTTTTAAAGCACCAAGGATCCTCTAGAATGAAATTTCTCTAAAGTTTCCTAAAGTGCTACAGTGTATGGTTGAGATTTATTGGCAAGTCACATCAGAAAAATTGATGTGACTTGTCAGTAAATCTCAACCATACACTGTAGCACTTTAGGAAACTTTAGGGAAAAATCACTCTAGAGGATCCTTGCTCATTTTAAAGATATCATATTGTTTTGACCGCAATTGTGCTTACTCTCAGTTCTCTATTTTGACTTGCCAAGAGCTGAGTCTAGCCTAATATGAATCCAAGCAGAGATTGAATTGAAAATATAGACTTGAATTGCTGCATGTTAAGACATTTTTGTGCAGACAATTTGCATCTGCTATTCATGAATATTCTGTGACAATTTATACTAACGAGACTGTGCTAAGACACTTCAAATTTATGCATCATAAATGTATGTGTTTCTGGGTCCTCTACATAACTGGGTTAAGATTGTGTAGGCTTTTGGGTTACAGTTGGATGTTTTACAGTAAAAGTGTCTTGTTTGATTTGCTGCTGCTGCTGCTGCTCTCTCTCTCTCTCTCTCTCTCTCTCTCTCACACACACACACACATGCACACACACACGTACATATGTTTGTACAAATGGGTGAATTAACACATGATAGAGTTCAACAATGGCAAGTTGCTAAAGAGGAGAAAGGGGGAAGCTGCTCTCCAGGCAAATGGACCTTGCCAGCAACTGAAAGCAAAACAAGAAGGAAAAGGAAACGTTACACAAAAGCAACCAAAGCAGGGTTTGAAGTTGAAACAACTAGAATTTGTTCTGGGCATATTCTCCATCCAAAACCATGTCAGGTTTAATATCTACTGCACATCCAGCTATTCGATTCATTATTGATCAAAGTAATTTTTAAGTTCAATTTTTTAAATTTTTTTCTTCAAATAGCTGTGCAGTGGTGGGGTGCTGGGAAGGTAAGGGAGGGATTGGGCGTCGGAGAAGGGCTGTGAGGGTGACAAGGGAGAGTGGGGGAGGAGTGGACGACAGTGGGCTGGGGGAGAGGTTGAGGGTGGTTAGGGACAATAGAGGGGTAAGTCGGTGATGGAGGCTGGAAGAGAAAAACAAGAGATAGGAAGGAGAAGGGAAGATAAGAAAGAGGGGTATTTATGATAAATTTAAGGTATGAATTCTATGATTTTGTAATTTTCTTTTCTTTACTTTTACTTTTACTTTTTCTTTTTTCTTGTCCTTTTTTGGTCTTTTTGGTCTTTTTGTTTTTGCTTTTGTTTTTGTTTTTGTTTTTGTTTTTGTTTTTTTTTTTTTTTTTTTGACTCTTAGGCCTTGTTTGAAACAAGTTATTTTAGTAATTTTTTGATTTTTTTGGTCAAAATATGAGGTTAAAAAAATTAATATGTTTAGAAAGATTTTTTAATTTTTTACAAAAAAATGTGTAAAAAGTAGAAAAAAAAATGTAATCTTTGATTTTTTGGTATATGCTATAGACTTTTTGGTTTTTTTAGTAACTTTTTGATTTTTAGACTAAAAATGTTACATGCCAAACGAGACCTTAATATAATTATTTTTTATTATCTATTTGCAACTATTTGTTCTAAATGTTATTTTTAAGGTTAATTTTATTTTCATTCTCTAAAACTATTCTTTTTTTTATTTTTTTATTTCATTATTAAATTATCAATTTCATTTATTTTGTCATTGAAAATTTTAATTTGAGCTCATATGGTTTAATTGAAGATGTCTATTGAAATTAGTTTTTTTTTTAACGTACTATTCAAATTAGTTGCATTTTAGTATTTGAACAACTTATGTGAGGGTCGGGAAATGGAGAAGATGAGGGATGAGGGGTACAAAAGAAAATAAGTGTTTGGTATAAGATTGACTAAAACTTCGTTCAATCTGTTGAAATTGTATTGATTGGTTAAAATCGTATTGTTTTATTCATTAATTGCGATTTAAATTTTAAATTTTATAATTTATTTTTGAAATCGTTTTGTTTTATTATAGTTAATATATATATATATATATATATACTTTTTAACCTTTAATAAAATATCTAAATTAATATCCAGCCGCCACATCATGATAATGATAATTGGTCTTTTGGCAACATTGATAAAAAGCTGCGTTTAGCTTGAGAAAAAAAAATAAAAAAATACATTGACTTTTTTAGGAAAGAGTTATTTGGCAAGGTGAAAAAAAATTATATGAAAAATTACAATCATACTCTTATATTGTGTAGAATACATGAGTATACATGAGTGAATATGTAAATTTTTTAAATTAAATAGGATAATTTAATTATTTTATTGTGATGTGATATTATAAATAAGTATTAATAAAAAAATCAAAAATAATTTTTTATTAATTTCTCAAATTACTTTTAAAAAAAATCAAAATACTTGATAAAAAGTCAAGGGAAGTAATTGAGACCCCTCCAATCACCAAAAAAAAAAAAAAATTGCTTCAAATATTAAAAAAAATAGTAAAAACAAAAAAACACGGAAAATAAGAAAGTAGAATTTTCTGAAAATTATTTTTGAAAAAATGAAACCAAACAAAGTGATTGACTTTTTTAGGAAGAAATTATTTGACACGGTAAAAAAAAATTACATGAAAAATTACGATCATACTCTTATATTGTTTAGGGTTGTACATGAGTGAACATGTAAATTTTCTAAATTAAGTGGAGTAATTTAGTCATTTTATTGTGATATGATATCATAAATAAATATTAATAAAAAAATCAAAAATAATTTTTTTATTCATTTCCCAAGTCACTTTTAAAAAAAATCAAAATACTTGATAAAAAGTTAAGAGAAAAGTTAGGGATCATGAAAAACCTTTCAGGAAAATGATCATGAAAGAGTTATGATGTTTGGATTACCTTAATTTGTGTGTAGTGCAGATATTTTAAGAAATCAGAAGTCTAAACCCAAAATTTAAATGAATGGTTCAGATGCAAATTGCTCATCATGTAGATAGGCCCAGACCAACGTAAATCTGTTGCCCAATGGATTTGAAAGATTGAGTCTAGCCCAAACTTATCTAGCAAGATCAGTTTCAATTTCGGCTTTTATGGACTTGCACTATGAATTTTTGAAACACTTCAGGGATCAGATACAATGACGGATACTACCAATTTACTTGAGCCAGCGTTCTTTTCAAATGAACCAGTTTATCATCTCCAACCTCAGTGGTCTGTAAATTCTACAACTTCTGTTTCCATCGAGATTTCTTCTTTTTCCAGTGTCTCAGGGTATTATTCATATCAATTAAGATCTCCAGATTTCTTCTTTTTCCAGTGTCTCAGGGTATTATTCATATCAATTAAGATCTCCAACTTTATTACTGTCATCAACATATCTGATGATCTCATCTGTTTAACATCACATCACATGGACACTGGACAAATTTAATATTTTACAGTGACAGTGATGTTGCACATTCCTTCTATTTTGTGGTCCTTATGTTGAGGTTCTATTCATGGGTTGGGCCCTCTAGGAAACACACAAATTAAAGATTGATGTTGAACAGAAAAATGCACAAAAACCACTATATGTCGATAGCCGAGAACTGCACATACTTGTTTGACATCTGGACTATGTCGGAATTCGCTTGTTTAGTAAAATTTATCTAATTGATAACCCCTAACCACCCCCCGTCTCTCTCTCTCTCTCTCTCTCTCTGTGGTATAAGTATGTAATATTATTTGAGTAGAATCTTTAAATTTTTGTTTATTTACTTTTTCTTTTCTTTCCTTCTTGAATCTAGAGGTTAGATGTGTTCAAGGTCTACATTTGTGGCGCAGTAGTTCTTCTGTAATATTATTTGGTTGTTTTACATAAATAAATTTGTGCTGTTAAGCGTTCTCTTGCTTTTGTTTGCAGATATGATATGCCAATGTGTGGAAGATCTTTGCAGATTTGTTTGATTATTTTCCTCTTATAGCACTGGTTAGTATGGCATTTAACATATGTATCAATCATCTGTGATTCTTGAATTTGAGAGGAAAGAAAAGCAATTAAATTACATTTCTATGCTACTTACTTTTCATGTTTAGAAAAGGCATTTTTGCCTTATCCCTAGACCAAAATTGTATCCTTACTACAACTATTTGCATTGTCTGCACTGTGATGACTGTTGACTATGCTACAATTGTATCTGTTTTCCTGATTATTTGTAAATATATCATATATCATTTCTACCCTTACACATAGATTTACTTATATACCATGCAACAAAAAGCAATAATGCAGCCCTTCTTGCTTGCTTTAGTAGTTTTGCTCGTATATTCTTATTTCAAGGTTTGCATCCTAGGATCAAGTTGTACTCTGGTTTTCTAATTTCATTCTTAGAGTTGTTCTCTTGGACTTGCAAAAGTCAGTCTGAAGATTGAATTAGCTGCATGTAAATGAGTTTGTAATTTCTCTCTGACTTGCTATCTAATTGAGGTTTCATTGCACTCCCAATTTGTTTCCATTGACTGCGTACCTCATTTTTTCGATGGTCTTAGTAGACAATCAAAGTGTTCTGAATCATATGCTGCGTTCGTATATATTAAAATGGCCAGAAAACAAAGTAATGTGATTAATGTTTTAATTCTTTCCATTCATGATATCATTTTTCATTATATTTTTTAGGGACTTTGGTGTTAATTCATGATGTTTTCTAAATTTTAGGTTGAATCTGAAATCTTTTGTCTCCATGGTGGATTATCCCCCTCCATTGAAACCTTTGATAACATACGTAATTTCGACCGTGTTCTAGAAGTTCCTCATGAGAGGCCAATGTGTGATCTTTTATGGTCTAACCATGATGATCGTTCTGGTTGGGGTATCTCACCCAGGGGTGCTGGATATACTTTTGGCCAAGTATCTTAATTCTTCCTTCCTGGTGTATCTTTTTTCTTAGTAGACAATCAAAGTGTTCTGAATCATATGCTGCGTTCGTATATATTAAAATGGCCAGAAAACAAAGTAATGTGATTAATGTTTTAATTCTTACCATTCATGATATCATTTTTCATTATATTTTTTAGGGACTTTGGTGTTAATTCATGATGTTTTCTAAATTTTAGGTTGAATCTGAAATCTTTTGTCTCCATGGTGGATTATCCCCCTCCATTGAAACCCTTGATGACATACATAATTTCGACCGTGTTCTAGAAGTTCCTCATGAGAGGCCAATGTGTGATCTTTTATGGTCTAACCATGATGATCGTTCTGGTTGGGGTATCTCACCCAGGGGTGCTGGATATACTTTTGGCCAAGTATCTTAATTCTTCCTTCCTGGTGTATCTTTCTTCCAGTTCCAGAAAAAATAAAAAATAAAATAAAAAACTTTATTTTCTAACCACTTGCATGGTTCTTGCAAGACATATCGGAGCAGTTCAACCATACCAATAATTTAAAGCTAATTGCTAGAGCACACCAACTACAGACTCATTCGGTAGAACAAGTTTAGCTTTATTCTCGATATGTATGGAAGCTGACTAGAGATCTCTTTGATCTTAGTCAAATATTCCTCCATTGTAGCACCTCTTTTTGTGATTGATTGTAATTGATTTTTCAGGGGATGAGTATGAGAGTGAGATAAAGAAGTGTATCTTTTCTCAAGAGCACTCCGTATTTGAAAGCAGTGTTGATGATGAAGTACTGAAGAAAATACAGAAGGTGACAATGTTGCAGTGATGAAACTCAAAAGATGACCATCCATTTTCTTCCATTTTAGAAATTCAGGATTTGGCACAGTTGTTCCAGAGGAATCAAGAATATCTGATACAGGACAAGGTACCATTCCAGTAACAAAATCAAGAAGCTCAGTTGCTCGAAGAACATTCTGAAGCTCTCTTTTCCAGATCAAAAAATTTGTGGAATCTAGCTTAACAGTGACTAATGAATTGAAATTGGTAAGAAGAAGACTTAGATTTGATGGTATAGATTGGGAAATTGACGAAGAAGATGAACACCATTATTGGACCTTGCTCGTAGGAGCTTGAAAAGCTCTGATACCATGACAGAAATTGAAAAAGCTCTGTTTTCCAATCTATTTGATCAAACTGTGTCTACACTTCTTTATACAAAATGGTTAGAGTTTGTTATAACAAACTCTAACTGCTTTCCTAACTACTTTACAGTCATAATCCTATCTTTCTCATATCTATACAGCTCTCTCTCACACCCTTGTTGATTCAGAACTCATGACTTTAATTGTATAATTGAACATATTTTCTGCTGTGGAGTGGAACAGATTTTCTGCTGTGGCTGCTGTGACTTTTGCTGTGGTTACTGTGGCTTAGGTAGCTTATCAGTGACTTATTCAAAAGAAGTATAAATTGTTTGAGGGTGAGATTTGTCGACTGATTTTGCATTTGTTTGTTACAGGAGCAAAAGCAGTTACTATATTTAGTACACCTAATTATTGTTATCGATGCGGTAACATGGCATCTATCCTAGAAGTTGATGACTGCAAGGGCCACACTTTTATTCAGGTCTCTCTCTCTCTCTCAGACGCGCGCGCGCGCACACACACACACACGGGCACTTTTACACAGGCTATATTATAATTGTGTTAGGATAATGGAAGAAATCCAGCTTTGGTGTGATTTTTTTTATCGTATTTTTTGTGTTGTCTCAGTTGAAACCAAAGCTCACGAAGTACATGTCTGTTGTTGGTTGCAGTTTGAGCCAGTACCTAGGAGGGAAGAGCCGGATGTAACACGGAGAACACCAGATTATTTCCTATAAATGCAACACTGCAATTATTGCTAAATCTCAAGCGGCAAGGTGTGTTTGCTAGCTATTTTTTCAAGTTGGGAGCTATTTTTTCCAAATTAAAGAACCTATAATTTTGGGATGATAGTGAAAGGGTGTTGGAAAGAATGTAAAATCAGCATATAAAGGCTTCCTTTGACTCTCAGTTAACCGGTAAAGAAAGCTGAAGATTTGGTGAGACAAACATGAGAACTAACTTCTACAATTCTCACATTTTACGTACTTGAAAATATCAAGTAGCAAAATGTAAAGCAGTGCTGCATTGATTGACAAACATGAGAATTAACTTTCACAATTCATACATGTACAGGCCTCAAATGCCTATATGAGTTTGTCAAAGAATGCCCATGCCTAAGAGCCAAATCAAGATAGATCTCGCTTTGTCCTTGGACCACTCTTCTTGACATGGGTCATTATTCAATTATTCCCTGTGAGTAATTTTTTTTTTTCCCCCTTCTTTTTCACCAACAGTGGTGTTTGTTTGAATTAGAGTATTTGAAGCATGCATGTTGTGTTTTATAGCCAATGAAATGATTGCATCTGATATCTGTTGGTCTATTATTTAGGAAGATGTTATTTGTTTCATTCTTATATATGGTAATAACCAATTCACAAATTTTCCAAAATAATTGAATTGCATCAAATCAAAATGCAAAAGCAAGAAAGAAATTAGCTCACACAAAATTATTTCCTGCAATATCCACAAGTGAATTTCAAATGAATATATATATATATATATATGTATATTCACATAATTCATTACAATGATTACATAATAACACATTATCTACACTATATATATACATTTTTTCATTTTTTATTTGTAAATTCTTAAGTAATACTCATCTCTCTCTCTAGACACAAACACAGTCACTGATGGATTGAAACACTATATAAATAGATAAAACACATATATAGTGAAAGACATTAAGGTACCATCTCAAGATTTCCCATAAATAATAATATAGATAGATATTATGATCCACTGAAAATAATGTCATAGTCGAAACAGTTTTCAAATGCTCATTGGCACCTGACAAACTTGGAGAAGGGAGGATGCTCCTCTCTTGAGAACACTCCATCAGAGCTTGAAACTCCCCAAAAGTTGCGCACAACTCCAGAGAACCCAGCCAAAAGACATCTCAATCAATTCAACAATTATAAAAATTCTAAGGAAATCCACAGTTTTCAAAACTGATCTTTATTACCCACATTTAATTTCAATACATAACAAAAACTCTCAATTTCTACCTTCTAGGGTTTGAATAAAAATGAAAAAAATTAAATTAAATTAACTAATGAGAAAGAAAAAGAACACGGAACCAAAGAAAATTAAAACAACAATAAAATTGAAACCCTAATGAAAAACAAGAAGCCACAAAATATACACACATACACACAGTAAACATCATGCAAACAATAATAAAAAGAACAAAACCCCAACTAATTAACAGAACCAAAGAAAATTAAAACACTTTACAAACCCTAACTGGATCAAAAGGAACCTAAAATCGAAATACCTAACATTCTTCATGTATGTCTTTACCTTAATAGAAGCTTGTGTCGTATTCTTCCATCCTTGGGCTCAATTTTCGTTTGATTCGCTGCTGAACACTATGAATACCCAAAAAATCAAACAAATCGCCACCACAGAGGAGACCTCATCGGCGGTCGCCAAAGGAGAAAGGAGGGAGGAGATCGGTGAGAGGAGAGAGGAGGGAGGAGATCGGTGAGAGCAGATAGGAGGTGAGATCGGTGAGAGAATGGAGGGTTCTCTGTATAGAGTGCAGAGAAGAGAGTTATAAACAGCTGTAAGTAATTTGAGGTATTTTTCCATCAATACCCTTGCATCTAAAGAAGAAAAGTTATAAAGTACAAGGTTAAAATTGACTTTTCAACTATTACAAAACACTGTTCATATTTGGCTGAAATTACTGTTCATGTTGCATCGGTGCTTTATATATATTGTATAGAAATGGTTAGAGTTTGTTATAACAAACTCTAACTGCTTTCCTAACTACTTTACAGTCATAATCCTATCTTTCTCATATCTATACAGCTCTCTCTCACACCCTTGTTGATTCAGAATTCATGACTTCAATTGTATAATTGAACATATTTTCTGCTGTGGAGTGGAACAGATTTTCTGCTGTGGCTGCTGTGACTTTTGCTGTGGTTACTGTGGCTTAAGGTAGCTTATCAGTGACTTATTCAAAAGAAGTATAAATTGTTTGAGGGTGAGATTTGTCGACTGATTTTGCATTTGTTTGTTACAGGAGCAAAAGCAGTTACTATATTTAGTACACCTAATTATTGTTATCGATGCGGTAACATGGCATCTATCCTAGAAGTTGATGACTGCAAGGGCCACACTTTTATTCAGGTCTCTCTCTCTCTCTCAGACGCGCGCGCGCGCACACACACACACACGGGCACTTTTACACAGGCTATATTATAATTGTGTTAGGATAATGGAAGAAATCCAGCTTTGGTGTGATTTTTTTTATCGTATTTTTTGTGTTGTCTCAGTTGAAACCAAAGCTCACGAAGTACATGTCTGTTGTTGGTTGCAGTTTGAGCCAGTACCTAGGAGGGAAGAGCCGGATGTAACACGGAGAACACCAGATTATTTCCTATAAATGCAACACTGCAATTATTGCTAAATCTCAAGCGGCAAGGTGTGTTTGCTAGCTATTTTTTCAAGTTGGGAGCTATTTTTTCCAAATTAAAGAACCTATAATTTTGGGATGATAGTGAAAGGGTGTTGGAAAGAATGTAAAATCAGCATATAAAGGCTTCCTTTGACTCTCAGTTAACCGGTAAAGAAAGCTGAAGATTTGGTGAGACAAACATGAGAACTAACTTCTACAATTCTCACATTTTACGTACTTGAAAATATCAAGTAGCAAAATGTAAAGCAGTGCTGCATTGATTGACAAACATGAGAATTAACTTTCACAATTCATACATGTACAGGCCTCAAATGCCTATATGAGTTTGTCAAAGAATGCCCATGCCTAAGAGCCAAATCAAGATAGATCTCGCTTTGTCCTTGGACCACTCTTCTTGACATGGGTCATTATTCAATTATTCCCTGTGAGTAATTTTTTTTTTTCCCCCTTCTTTTTCACCAACAGTGGTGTTTGTTTGAATTAGAGTATTTGAAGCATGCATGTTGTGTTTTATAGCCAATGAAATGATTGCATCTGATATCTGTTGGTCTATTATTTAGGAAGATGTTATTTGTTTCATTCTTATATATGGTAATAACCTTCAATTATTTTCCCTATTTATGCAGGTCATATTGACATCTTTGGTTTACAAGAAGCAACGAAAACTAAGCATCACGGCGAAAATGCATTAATTAATTAATTAATCTCTCTGACTTCTGTTTGGAATTTAGGCGTGGTGGGATTCATTATATGATACAAGTGATGGATACATTTATGGATTTAACGTTAATTTTGATAGTTTCTATATAAATAAAAAAATTTATCCATGCATTAATTAATTAATTATAGACATGACTAATATTGTCATCATATCGAGTACTAAATACTTAAAGTTGCCAATTATTTGCACAGGTTATTTGTGGTCTTCGTTTTTCATGAATTCAGGTGTTCAATCCCTTTTGATTTGGAGTTGCTGACTTCACTTGAGATACAGAGCTTTCATGGTAGTAATCTTAGGTATGGTTGTTTGATTTGGAGTTGTTTTATATAAGTCCTTTCTACGATACTTACCTCATTCCTATTGATTGATTTACTTGTGAGGAATCATATATTTTCCCTAACACCTCATGTTGTATTGCACACCCAAAGGCGCATCCCCTCTCTCTTGCTCAACCTTCAAAATTTAGAGAAAAAATCGTTAAATTTCCACGATCCAAACACACTTTTAGTTTAACAATATTTGGATCAAAAGAAATAGTCCTATTATATTTCGCTAGGGATCTTTTGTACAAATCTCTTATGCCCTCTTGCTTCTCTCTACTGTATAACAAGGTTAGAGAGATCAATTATGTGGTACAAAGATGACTTGAGACGGATGATATAAAAAGACGTTGACAGAAGATCTAGACTCATATTTGAGTTAGATATATTAAAAAATGTAACTATATCACTTGTAGCATAATAGTATCGAGAATATAAATCGATACATATTGGAAATTGGGTATCATATGGTAGCAAAATTTTTAAAATCATTGGCAAAAAATAGTTTTATAACAGTCGATCTGGTTATATCAATTATGAATATTAGCTGATATTTAAAAATCATTATTTGACCTCAATATATTGTGGGGGTACCTTATGAGTTTGGATGTCATCAACAAGCCTAGCAATTAGTGCACAAGACTTCACAATTTTGGGAACATCAAGCACCCAAAGGCTTCCTTAGTTGCAATCTTTCCAATGCCAACAAGGGATTGAACAGCCAGCATAGGATAACCACTGCTCATCACAGAAATGCTCGAGTACTCCTCAAGTGTAGGCACATACTTGGTGTTAAACCAGTTTGCTTCCACAAAGTAGGCTCCAACTAGACCTTTCATCTGAAGAAAACCACACAAATGTAAGTGTTAGATAGCTATTATGCTGAAAAACTAAGTTAAAGAAATTCTTGTTTGGATGAGAGAAAATTTTAATATGATATATATATATGATGCAATATATTTATTTCAAATGTTAAGTGTGTACTCAATCTTTTCTCTCACAAACATACATTAATGTGTATTAATTAGGTGTTGTTGTTGCCGTTGTTGCTTTTGTTTGTATATATATAGTATGATATGTTGAGTCATGGGTCTATCAATTTTTTTTTTTTTTTAAAAAAACCATCAATTAATATTATAATATAAATAATAAAGCTACTTATGTTTCTAACAGTTTAAAATTTTAGATGAATTAATGGTTAATTGTTTAATATAATATTAGACAATAACAATTTAAGTTTTTAGATGAATGAGTAGTTAATAATTTAATATATATTTATTTATAAAAAGCCACTGTCATGTCATCTTGTATAAAATTTTAGAAAAATATAGTATTTTCCTTTGGGAATTAATAATAAACAATAGTGAATATTTTATTAATATTTTATCTTGTGTCTTTTTTATAAGATAAATGACATATAATATTTTAATAGTAATTGGAATCCTTTAATATTTTTACAAAGAAAATTCGATACAGAAAAATTGCCCCTCGACACAGAGAAATTTTGAATTTTTTTGATTTCACAAAGAAATTTCAAAATTTCTCTAGGATGATCACAGAG